GCTCCTTACTGCCCCGCACCCTGCCTTCTCCCCCGCCCAGTGCCTCCCGTGCCGGCGACGAGGTGGAGAGGCGAATAGTAATTAATAAGTCAGGGGCGGCCGCTGCCGCAGTGCTTAGGATGATCCCCCGGAGAACCCGAGCTGCGTGCGGCGGGCCGGGCTCCGGGGGGCTCGTCCACCCGGCAGGGGAATTCCAGAGGAAGTGGCTTTAGCCGGGCCCCGCAGCCCTGCCCCAGGCCTCCCCGGGCGCGGATGAGGTTGAACAGCCTGGGAGGCAGACCCCGCCGCTATAGCCTGAGTGCCTGGCGATTGAAACCAGCCGGAGGCGGTGCCTGTGAAGTCTGCGTGTGGTGTCAAAAATGCCTCCTAAGAGCACGCAGCCATCCTGACAGTCATTTCGGACAGAGTCCGCCTTTCCCGAAATAGAGTGGAAACTGGACAGGGATGCGGGGGCGAAGGGTCCTTGCGTAGCCCGCTTCCTGGCTCCGTGGGGTACCCGATGTCCTGTGGACCGATTGTTGATGAGATCCTACAGACACGGGGTGTGGGCACTTTGAACTGGAGTGGTTTTCCTTTTGAAGCCACTTCACAGGCTTCATTCCTCCATTAACCAAGCTCAGAATTCCGTTCTGCCTGCCCGTAGAAGTGCAGCGTGGACAGAGCTGTGGCAGCTCTTCCTTCTCTGTGCATTGTGGTGGGGGTTCATTTAAAAGGCAGTTTTCATAGTTGCTGCTTTATTTTACTTAACTGACAGTAGGCAAACACGTCCACTGTTACCCACCATCATTTTGTTGTAGTATTTTCAAATACAGGTGGGGACTCTGATGCACTAAAAAAATCTCCTTTCTGTACCCATCCTGGGAAGAACTGGCATTGTACTAAATTTTTTAAAAAAAATTCTTTTTTTCAGTATTGGCATAAAGGATGTTTTCATTGTGAAGTCTGCAAGATGGCTCTCAACATGAACAACTACAAAGGCTATGAAAAGAAGCCCTATTGTAATGCGTAAGTATTGTCGAAAAGACATGCCAGGTGTGGCACAGCTTCGGCCCATAGAAGTGAGTGGACCTGCCTGTTCTGAAGAATGGACTCACTGTGCCACCCAGGTGTGGCAGCAGCCAATTACCTGTTTATGCCACATACTCTGGGGCCATGTACTCGGTTGAAGGTCATTGCATTTGTCTTTCTAACGTGCAGGGTAATTTGTGTCTTCAACCAGGTTAGTTTTTGAGGGTCACAGTGCTGCAGCGTTGGGGACATTTGTTAGAAGCTGCAGAACTTACTGCAAATGTGTGGGCTCTGAAGTGCATGTCAGATAGATTTCCATTTTAATCTCTTCAATTTTCATTTTTAACCATATGACGTTGCCATACTGCAATTTTATATCTGAACCTAGCTGCTACAGAAGGAAGTCTAACTCACTTGGTCTTAGCTGAGACCACTCCATAGATCAGGGGTCCTCAAACTTTTTAAACAGGGGGGGCCAGTTCACTGTCCCTCAGACCGTTGGAGGGCCGGACTATAGTTTAAAAAAAAACAACTATGAACAAATTCCTATGCACACTGCACATATCTTATTTTGAAGTAAAAAAACAAAACGGGAACAAATACAATATTTGTATTTGCGTGTGGCCCACGGGCCGTAGTTTGAGGACCCCTGCCATAGATCCTGGCGCTTAAACAGGGAACTAAAGAATTGAGACGTGGGTATTTCCTGCTGGTTAGTAGTAGGTCTGTTGGTGGGGATTATAGAAGGCAAGCTCTTTCTGCAGGCTTTTCTGTAGGTATGCTTCTAGCCTATAATAATAGCAATTAGCTAGCATTTATACAGCGCTTATCATGTGCTAGGCCTTCTTCTAAGCTCTTTATGCATCCTGACTCATTTACTCTTTACAGACCCTATGACTATTATTATCCCTAGTTGACAGACAAAGAAATGGAAAAGCTTGCAGAGGATAAGCCTAAGGAAGTGGCTCAGATCACTTCTAGAGGCTGCAAAGGGTTAAACATTGGCCAGTGCTTCCAAAGGGCTACCCTGCCCCCTCCTCAGGCATGTATTTCTCCACTCCTGTGAGCATCTTCCCACCCAGACTATTTTCAAGTGTGGGCCCTTGGCTCTGATTGTTGAACCTTCTTCCCAGGTCCATGTGAGGCCTGTGGGCCTGGAGGAGGCAGGGGAGCCACCTAGTCTTTTGGCTAGAGTTTTGTCATCAGAGATTAATTCTCCCTATAGTTTTGAAGCAGGTTCATTCAGGTCTCCCGGAGATGGAGGCCTGTGGTTAATTCATGCTTCACTCATGGCAATGTTATCATAGACAGTAAATTTTTGTTAAACAAATGTAATGTATTCATATATCTCTGGTGAGGAACTTAGAAAAACTCTCTTTGTGTTTCCCTCCAGTCCTAGCTTAGTGCTTACATATAGATCAGAAACTTTGAAAACATCAGAAAATGGGGACATTGAATAGAATTTAGGCCTCTCTTGCATAAGGGAAGTCCACAGATATTACCCAAATTTACTGATGTTTACAACCCTACTCTACCATACCTCTTGCTAGGATAATGTGAAGCAAAATGAGATTTCAGTGTCATGGTCTCCTGCTTCTCTTAAAGAGAAGTATAAATGATTGGTTAAAGATCAAAGGCAGGCAGCAGTAACTAGAAGGGAAAGGGCCCCCTCGAACCATAAACAGGATAATGGTTCTTTGGTTAAAGGAAAGTGAACCATTCTTCCTACATGTATTCTAGCTCCCGGCCTGATTCGATCAGGCTTTATGGGCCATGCCAGGATTCTTTATAGCTCCACAGCCTGGAGTTAAACCTGGAGGAATGGGAGGGGAAGAGGAAAGACAGAAGAGAATGAAAAGAAGGGGAGAACAACAAATATATAATGTAAATATTACATTGAATGAGAAAAAGAAAAGTTACAAATAAAAGGACATAAAAAAGAGGTACAACTGAGGTAGAGCCTTTGATTGCATTGGGCCTCTTGAAAATTTAGTGCTTATTGCTTAGTTTCAATTAGGTCCAATGAAAAAGAGTATCAGATTCTGCAGCAAGTCATGGATGGCTGGTTTGCACTCTGACTTCATAGTGAACTAGTGCCCAGAACCTTTGAGATTTTGGACTCCAAACAAAAAGAGACCTCTTTTTGTAGATAGGAAACATCTAGGTATGTTGTTTCAGAGGACTGTTTCATTTTTAATACTTCAGTTATCTGTAAATCAAATGCTTACACATTTTCTCTCTAAAAATTGTCATATAATTCCAGAACTTTGTTATTTGGTTTCGTTTTAATTTTTGGGTAGCATCTCAGACTTTTTTGCTTAATATTGAACCTGGTAGTCTACTTTATTAAATAATTCATCCTTAGTGGCTGGATAAGTAGAGTTGATGGTTTATTAGTTTAATTTAGCTTTAACTTCATGTCATATGTTATCTCCAAAGAACGGAGCCTGCCTAAGTTGTAGGTTCTGTCTGTTGTGAAGGTCCCTGGCTACAAGGCCCCTGTTCTCACCCCTTCATTTTTCCAAGCGCACAGATTGCCATGCAAACTTGCTGGTCAGAGCGGCTTCCCCTCTGGGGATCCTGATGCCTCGCTCTAATTCAGGTGGTGTGTGTCAATCAGCTGTTCCCTATGGTCTTGGCCAGAAGGGCTGCCGTGATTTCTCTGGGTTAGTGGTGGAAAATTGATTCTCTGAAGCATACTGCTACTGAAAATGAAACATTCTATGGCCATGTAAAGCAGTGTTTTATCTGTACCTAGTTTGGTTCAGGCCTCAATATACAATAAGTGAAAATGACTATTCTCTTTCCCCTAAAACGTTATAGTGTGAAAATTTTCATGTACACAAAATGGTTGGAAGAATGGTACAATGAACATCTGTATACTCTCCACTGAGATTCAACTATTATTAACATTTTGCCATATTTGTTTCCTATACATATCTATATATATGTACAAGTACTTTTTATTTATTATTTTTAGTACTTTGAAAAATTGTTGGTTCATTTGTCAGTTTCATGCATCAGTGAGTTTCAGTCATCCAGATATGGCAGTCCTAAAAATTCATTATGCATGCACTAAGAATAAGGGTATTTTCTTAAAGAAGCACAGAACCATTATCACACCTCAGAAAATTAACAAAAATTTCATAATATCTAATATTCTGTTTATGTTCACATTTTCCCCATTGTCCTAAGAATGTCTTTTATAGTTGTTTTTTTCTTAACAACCAGAATCCAATCAAGGTTCATACTTTACCTTTAGTTGTTATGAAAATGACAACTTTTCTTGATGATTGAATATTGAATATTCTCTAATTTCTGCCTTCATTTCCATTGATTTAGATAACCTCTCAGAGTTTTCAGAAAGAGGATTTACATAGCATTTCTTATGAAAATAGCATATATATTTAGCTAAAGAACCTTTAAAATAAATATTAAGACTATGCTTAAAAATTTAAAAGCATAAGCATAGACATTTAAGATTATGTTAAGAAAACACAAAGGCTTTTTGTTTTAATTGATACCTGAGGGCATTTAAAAAAATGGAGTGAAGTAGTGAGTATTTTCTTCAGTTTAAATGTGTTGCTTATTTATATTCTCATGTGTTTAGAGAAGAAACAAGTTTGCCGTTTGATTTCTGCAAAGGAGAACATGTATAAAATATAATTTACATAATATTTAAATTTTGATCTTTTGATAGAATGATCAAAGCATAGTACACGCTGGATGTAATGTTGGGCATAATGCACATTTAGTTCCCAGTGCAGCAGTGCACACTATTAAAATATTTAAAACAAACTAGGCTCCTTGAGTACGTGCCATGTTTTCATAAGTCTTTATGTTTCATGAGCAGGCGATGGATTCTTTAGCATACTCAGGATTTTTTTCATCATGGTACTTGCAAAGAAAAGAAGACTCGGCAATATTTTTATTGCTGAGGTGCTGAGAAAATAACACCAGATGATTAGACAAAACACATTGCTCACATTTGTATGTGAACCTATATGCCAAGTTAAACTATGAAAGTTTTGCTACCCAACAAGCCACACAGTGAATGTAAACTCCAAGGCCATTTGTAAAATAAATTATTTAATTTCTCATGTGTAAAAGTCAAAATTACATTTATTGTGTGTTTGTGAAAAATATACCAGTCCTTAAAATTTTCTGAGAAATATTACCACTTAGAGGTAACAGTGCCAATGACTGGCCAGTTAATGTACTGTCACCAAAGGTCCCCTTATTTTAGGTCATGGGTGGGACCAGTTAATGATGGCACTTATTTAGTAGGACCTTGCCAATAATTTCCCCAAGTCATCGCTTTTGTGGAAAGGTTTTGGGGCTGAAATTTTGTCCTGACGTGCCCTCTCTGATATACCTTGTATTTTGTAAGTGTATCTTTACTTATGGGGCTGAAAGAACACAAATATCTGTGCTAAATATGTTTAGTCATCCTTCCAAGTAAGATTCCCTCTCAACCAAGTAGTTGGACTTACTCTAATTATGGAAGGCTTTACAAATAAAACAGTGGGAGCTGTGCATCGTGTTTACTTTCGCTCTGCCTGTGTTAGTGTTTCATCTGGTGAATATTTATTGACTATTGACAGCTTGGAAGATGCTGAGCTAGATGCTCTCACTAGGAGCCGCCCAGAACGGTCAGTGCAGTTCAGCCAGCCTGTCTTGAGGGTGCTTAGGCCAGCGCTCCACTAGCTCTCACTTACCTTTTCTCTGCTGGTCACTCCTTGTTAGTGCCTTTGCTAAGGATTACGAAGGAAATTAAATTTAAGCCTGAGAATTTTCCACCACATATTTCCCTTGTCTCTGTTTAGGCCTCCCAAGCCTGGTTTTATAACACTCCAAGGATTTGAGTTATCTCAAGGGGACTTATGAAATTCTTGCTATTATGTTAGCTTTAATTACTTAAGAACTTCTCATGAAAGGCCCTACAGTGCAGTTGGAGTTTTGAAGAAACACAGAACTGGATTTAAATACTGGCTTCT